ACGATGTTGTATTATGCCCCGTTAGAGAAATGCTTGAAGGGATTGCAATAGGTAATCACCGCATAATTATGGGAATGAAGCGTGAGGATTACACGAGAATGACCATTGTAAACTGCCACAATCACTCGATGACGGCTTGCCCTTCGTTCGTATCGAATCAGTGATGCTGATGTTTAGTGCAATGAATTTTGACAGATTTAAATATGAATATTTGTTTCAGCAATATCTTTATGTGCATCGCGTGATGTTGAACTTTTTTATGGACTATAAGCTAATCGAGAAATCGGAACGAATCAACAACTTCATCCATGACTATGAAGAAATAATTCCTCGAGTGCAATAAACCCCGTAACAGTACCACCGTTATTCTCTGTCTCATTTCTACAAAACATTCATACTACTTTCGAAAGAAATGTTCAAAAATTATAATTTACATTACGTGTTGGTGGTTGCACGATAAAATTAGTTAGGTATTCATCAATCGATAAATTCATTCGTCGCCATTTATAATATTTATCGAGATAAACCGATGCAATTGAACATCAAAGAGCAATGCAGAAGAATTGCCTTTTCATTCAAATTTTTCGAAAAAGAAAATATTCTTCAAAAAAATTTTTGATTGTTTGCTTGTGTGAATGATTTACTGTTGCACACGTTTGCAAATGGACTCTAACAACGATAAGACTAAAGAACAGTGACGAAAGAACTACTCCTAAAATGAACAAGTGATTGCAAAGGGCTCAAGCATGTAATCTGTACCTATCAACACGATTATAGTGATCAACCAGCGATAAGAGTCTAACTGAACGACTGCTGAGAGTTATATTGCACATTCTTCTTAAGTGCACAACAAAGAGCAAATGTAATCCTTAAATGGAAAATATTTATAAATTTTAAAATAAAATATAATCTACACATTCACTGAAAATAGAATCAGAAAAACATTCAAAAAATATCGCATGAATAAGAATTGTTCGAGAAATCATTTGAAAATTGTGGTTGAAAGACGATCAATTTACTGCCCTGTCCAAACGTGGCATCGTTCGTCGTTCGGAGGATACATGGCTGCACCACGACGGCAGTTGAAGTCTTGTCCGAATTCCGGTATATCTTGCATGACCTGATTAACACGACATACACCTGGTGAGTGCGGGTTCGTCATGAGCTGAAGTTAACCGCACATACTTATTCCATTACGACTTTCGGCAAAATCAAAACTTCGCTGATACTGTTCGAAATTGCAATTTTAACGTAGCGCACGAATGTTGACAATGCTGTGCTGCTGAACGCACTAAATGCGAGAACAGAATTGGATTGCATGGCGCAATCTGCATTGCTTCGATACCTCCATTAATTGAACTTGAAAAGTTATTGATCGTGCATTTTATTCTGAATTATTGACTGTCGAGAAAAGATATCAGTTTTAAGAAGACGTTAACAAACCTGACGTGTGAGATACTTATCGGTGGTTTTCATACACCACGAGTAGCCATACGTGATCCAAAATATTTGATTGGGTGAGAACTGCTCTAAACCTGGCAGTCTGTCCTCTTCAACACCTTTTCTATCGACCTGGATGTAATGGCGATATGCTTTATACGATGCTAATTGTCCTAAAATAAGGCCAATTGCAAGATCGGTGATGTTGTGAGTATTTCCAGTCGAAAGAAGATCACTTTTCTCTCCGGACCTTAGCGTTCGACTTGTTGAAATTGAGAGGAGAAAAATGATATATTGCACATAGATGTAAAGAATTGATGAAAATCAATGAGATGATGGAAATGTCCATATTGTGAATGTGATAAGGAAGAGTCAATGAAGACTAACCTCCGATATCAGCGATATTCTCTCCTTGGGTTCGCTCACCACTTGCACAATGAACATTACCCGTTTTCAGCGGACAACATTTCTCGGAAAATTGTGACACAACGCATTGTGCCATATTGATAAAACCGAGCGTTGACTTAGTATCCATCCATCCACAATGGTCCCATGTGCAATTCGACATTTCCCCCTGCGGTCCGAACTGTACGCCTTGAAATGGGAAATTGTTTTGAGAGTAATGATTTTTTGTCCTGTCAACGTTGCTCTGCTCGATGGGACAGCTAATAAAGAGGGTAAATGAGGGGATATGCGAACAATAACATTACACAGCAAAGCAGTTGATATGAAGGGGATGTTCTTTGACAGTACAGAATGACTGCAAGCGAGAGCTGGATCATTATTCTTTGAGAAAGGAAAATGGTTAATCTTCGAATCCTTTCTTTCAACTTGTTTTCAAGTTGCACTCATTCTTTGCTGTTATGTGATGCAATTGCGTAGCTTGAATTAGAGCAGTTTCAAAACTGCGACGGAATAGTTGAAGGCCGAGAAATAGCTGGGGAGGATGAGACGAAAAAAAAAACAAATTTCAAGCAATCAACAGAGCACTAGGCAATTGTCAACTGGTATTCGCGAAAGAGCAAAATAGAACCATCTGAGGAAGTCGTAGGGCTGAGTAGTACAGAATGAAAGAATGAAATAGTTCAAGCAGAATTCAGAGCAGAGAATCGCTTATTCGAATAGCAGTTCACTCATTTCGTTTAAAAATAAAGCTGTGGTCCAAAGCATCCTCATTGTTGAGTTACATTAAAGTACTAAAGTTTTGCATGGCATTGGAAACTAAACAGTGCCGCTGCTCACTGCGAGAATCACTGCGTCTAACTGGACAAGAACATTAAATTAAACCTTCATCATCGTAACCATGTGTCAACTCATGACCAGCTGTACCCCCCTCACCGCCGTAGTTGAATGCTTGCGGGAAATCATACCTGAAAATCGTATATATAAAAAGCCGAATTCACTACTGTTTGCAGGCGTCGTTTTTGAATCGTCCCACAAACTATGAAATGAGTTCATTCAAAAACAAATTACGACACAATCAAAGAAGCACCTGTAATAGGGCGGGTTGAGCTCTGCGAATGGAATCGTTATCGAATTCAGCCCCGGTTGATACCACGCGTTCACAGCAGCCGGTGATTGCAAGAAGTTTCGCCTTCAATCAAGTAAACTACCAGAAATTATTTACTCAGAAACCAACTAACTAAAAATATAACAGACGTTCGAATTGTCAGTTCAGTCATGTATGTGCGCGTTTCAATAATCAGTAAGCAATGGAAATTTTATTGGAGCGCAACTGGGAAACTGAAGGGCTGCTTTTTGCAATGGTACAACAACGACCGCTGGAAAGTCATCAGCATTTTGCTTGAGAACCGACTTGAGAAAAATTCGATCGAACACCATCTGATCGAATATTCAGATGGATTGAACACAAGCACTGAATCCACCTACGAACCAATTTCGTGATCAATTTCCTCCGCTAATTTTCAAAGCGGATTGTGAGAAATCGGAGACATCTCACCTGTCCGGCTTCTTCTTGAGATTACCAAAGTTTTCGGTTAATTGCGATGCGTACTGCAATTCATTCAGGATATCCCACCAATCATTCATTTTTAATATATTGTCATAATTTTTGTGATATTCGTCAACTGGTGCTGGATTTGTGAAATCGAACCAATACGGCCATCCGTAGTTCTTTATCAGGCCATGTGCTGAAGCAGAACAATGAATTTTGTTCGCTCTGATTTGCTCTTTTTTATTATCAATCAGTGCATCTGGAGCAGTTCCATTGCCTACAGATGAGGTGAACTAGTGGAATGTCGCATCTCGTTTTGTTTTGCAATTGTAAACGACCCAATGGAGCATCACAAACCTTTTGCCTTCGCGGCTTTAAGCGATTCGGGCGTAAGCCATGGCAGTGTAGAAATCATTTTGAGGAACTCATCAATAACATAATTAGTTTGCTTTTCAACATCCTTTATTATATCGTTTCGCAAGGTTTCATTGACACCCTTGATGTAAACATATCCTACAAAAGAAATCGAAAATTGTAAGGGAAATTTTCGGATTGCTGTCTACAGGCAAATGAATTTAGCAAGATGACCATATCGTGTTCATCAATTGGTGAATCCATCATATTCAAATTATCAATGACAACAAGCAGAAGCACTCAGAATCAAAAAGATGTGTATAAAAGGAATATTTCAATGAACACTATAATTATAGTTGGGTGCAATTCAGCTCAAATGTATCAATAAAAATCAAAAACGAGTAAAAGAACAAAGCAACAAACCATTTCCATACGGCATTAAGTCTTCCGTAAGCCTTACGCAACCATAGGCTTTATCCTCCCAGCTGTCTGAACTAAAGACCTTTTTCGGTTCTGGTTTCGCTTCTTGAATGGTCTCATAGAGTTTTGCATATTGTTTCGCACCGTCTTTCAGAAAGTCTAGATTGCTCTGAAATTTCCACATTGCGAAAATTCTTCATTCACTATCAGTGCTGTTACGTTTATATTCGATCACTTTTGGATCCGGGCCTCCGAAAATGTTGAATGACTGATTTCAATCGATCAAAATTCCAGTCTGGCGTGACGATGAAGCAGCGAAATAGCCTCGTTCAGCAAGAACCATCTCACAAAAACGAATGAAACCAACGAGGAAACAATTATTACTTCCAGGAAACGCATAGCAACGAAATTAACGAATGTTCGTTTTGAGAACTGTTTACCAGCCAGAATCGTATTCAAGGTGCCGAAGTAAGACGGTTGATCGATGATGTATTCAGCATCGGGATCGACAGGCTGCAAAATGATGATTCGGTTGTTCAGAAAACAACTGCGGAAATGGAATTTTGACGTGTGAGCAGTATTATGAGGAGAATTTTGGAACGTCTCTGATGAACATAATTTGAATGTTTGGAGAAAAAATATATCTGAAGCGGTATCATTAAAAACGACATGACGATAATGCTGAGCATCCGTCGGAAAGTCGGTCAGTATAATTTTGACTAATAGAAACAAGAATGGCAAAGCAATCCGACCTCTCCCAACAGAGCGGCGAAGTACGCATCCCATCCAATCGAAGGATACGCCTCTCTCAGTTGCTTTACTTTGTAGGGATTGTATTGTTGTTCGTAATTTCGAAGTAATGCTCTTGGGACTGACGCTATCGCCAACTGCAGTTCAAGCCTAGTCGCTTCCGTAGCTTCCTGCGATAGAAAATTCGATGATTCTTGAGGCAGTCCTCTTAATGCAGAGTTCATCTATTATATTCGAATGGTTGAATGCGTAAAATTTCAACTGATTATGAAAAAATACTGTGCATTACACGAGTTTGATAGATTCTGAATGATTACCTTAACAATATCTTCATCCGGTACTGTCGATTTGATGTCCGCTTTGAACTGCTTTGTCGTATCTATCAAGTCTTTCAAATAATTATTCAAGTAGTCAAGGAATTGGGGTCTTACATAGTAGTCTCGAGCCATCATCAACGGAAGCTGCAAATGATGAACAATTGAATCATCATGAAGCGAGTTATAATGGTTGCCTGGTCGGATTCGATAACTCCTTAAAGTGATCCGAATGGAACTCTGTTTTGAAGATAACGTCCGGTGTCATCGCGCATTAACTCATTGGATACAATTGAAATCGAGATGGATTCAACCGCTTCATTCCGATCAATCATCTCAAGAACCAGTTGTGGTTAAAATTAAAGGATGTTCGATTGTCGTTTCATCTACTCATTAGTGAGCACAGATGTTTTCAGCCAAACGGATCAAAATAATACGGTTGAATCTGTCTCAAAGTCCCAGTTACTTGCATTGGAAATCGTTAAGTTCGGAGACAAATGTTCGTCGTTCATAATGAACAGGCAATTCGACTAACTTGATCGATATATAATGCATTTCGAGAGATATTCTTCGTGTCAACCGATACATACGATTGTAACAGTGATGCCATACCGTAATGCAATTCCAGCGTACCGATTGCCGTCCAAAACTTTTCATCTGTTAGCGATGCCTCGTCCCAGTTTGGTTCCAGCATCGGAAACCCTCCAAGCCTGCAGTACGTAAAATGTTCCAGTCTCTATCGGCCCATGTCGTTCTGTTTTACTATTACCAGCCATTCGTTCAAAATTCTTTGGGCTGCAAGCCCACTGTCAAATTCATCCCTACAACGGTAGTAACATTCTCACAACAGTCATGCCAACTCAGCAGAAAGGGTAACGTACAACTGTTTCATTATTTGGTACACATTCGTCGCCTTTCCCTGGCCATGCCAACTCATGCATGATTTAAATACCTGAAATGATCCATGTTCTTAATATTACATCTGGAATTCATCAACCAGGTTATTCCTATTGTTGGTTTTAAACCAACTGAATGAAATGTCATGTCATTGAGAAACGCCATTATGAGTAACTGAAATTGCAATAGAAACCTTCTGCATGATTTGTTCAGTTTTTGATTGGAGTGTTTTCGCAGTATCGAGAGTTGTAGCGATTGCGTTATTCACTTGAATTTGAGTTTCAGCGTACGTTCCAACACGGCCCCTGCCCTTGGGTAGTTGAACGGTTTGCAAATATTTATTGCACGTGAACATGTAAAAATCTTTGCATGGATCATAGCTGAGATCCAACCCTTTCAGAAGAAGATCTGCTGCAGCCTGAAATCACCCCGTGATAATGAGAATGCAAATGAAGGACCACTATTTGGTTGAATCCATTGTATGCAAAAGACCAGTGATGTGCTACTGGGAGTCAGTGGTGATGTGCTCTCATTGCGCTTCAGCTCAGCAGATATTTTCGATTGCTAATGAAGAGAAGATCGGGAATGGAAAATGAAATACTGAAATGCACACGTCTTACTTGTATGTATATTTGTAAGCTCTCATGCAAAGCAATGACTTGTTTAATGCGTTCAGTTGCGTTCTTTCAAATTGTAAGCGCTGATTAATGTTGGAAAGCGATAACAATTGTAGATATCATGGCGATAAGCGAGCGGCAAGCCAACTTTTTCTTGAGCAAATCGTCTTAGAAGTGGTTGACTGCCACACAACGTTCTGATATGGTCGACTACTTGCTCTTAAGCCTGTTCCCGTTTCGAATCGTTGCTCAACCCTTCCTTCTCTCAACTCAATTAGCCAATTCCCATGTTTTTTGTTAGTTCACGGTATCGTGCTAACCGCACCATTGTCAAATGGTTGTTGCTCAGAACTTCGCCCAAACACTCCCGTTGTTCGTTTTGGTCCGTTCACACGTGGCTTTTGCTAGAGATAAATGCTCATTACATTCTCATAAGAATTGATCATCTATTCCAACCTTGAAACCTGGTGATGTGGAAATTGTTGGTACAGGGGTCGGCTTGCCGGGTACTCTATCGGATGCTGATGTCGTTTCGGATTGCCGAGCATTTTCTTTGGTTAGAATGATTATGTTCAGGACAAGACTAGCAATTCCAAGTGCTACAGCCACCAACACACATACTGAAACAATGATTCATTAATGATCGAATGACAGTTTCATCGATCTTGAGAATGACTTACGTCTTAGATGAGCTGCATATGGGTGCTGAATTTCGAGAGTTAGGATTCAGCGATAAGGCAAATACGATAAGTTTATTGTCGTCATTGATTCTATTACGTTCACTCAACTGAATAACAGATCAATTCCTTTGTTTCGCAAAAGTCGATCGTGCGATTTGCATTTCGATGTTCTGGGAACTTTTTCGAAAATTCAGGAAGAGGTTATTTGAATTTGCATGAGTGCTCGTGAAGAATGCAATCAAATCAAGTGAAGGTATTACCTGCATCAGTTTACGAATTAACCGCTTACCTAAAACTGTCTTCGGCAGCAAACCTTCAATTTTGCCCATTCTCGATGGTAGGAAGAAGAGTGTATAATAAGAAAGCACTTCATCGAGACAGTCAACCTTCGCTTATCAGTGATTTGTTCACGGTGATAATTCTTATCACAAGTAAATCAAACATTACATTAGTATCAATTGTCCTTTTGTGAGTATTTTCTCGACTGACATGATCGATGCATGAAGATATTTGCAAGAGTTATCAATACCTGACCAAAATACACTTGGTGGCATTCTTAGTGCGTTTTGATCTCCTAAAGGACTTTTCTGCTGCTAGTATCACATCACTTAAGCAATGGTGAAAGCTACTGATTTGAAGTTTTGGTTCAGAACTACCTTTACTTATACCGATTATGCTGAATTTTTCACGGATTTCAAGCTAACCAATAGATCACAGAGAAAGATAAAATTCGTCCACGATTACGAAAAACTGATTCTTGCAGTGAAAGAAACCCCATGGCAGTATTTTTTACCATTACTTTACATACCAACTACAATAAGCGTACGGCAAGCCAATTTTTCTTGAGCAAATCATCTCAGAAGTGGCTGAATGCCGTACAACGCTCTGACTCACGAGCCTGTTCCAGTTTCGAATCACTGCTCAACCCTTTTCTCAACTCAATTAGCCAATTTCCAAATTACGTGAAATAGAAAACCGAAGAGCAACGCAAAAAATGCATTTCTTGTCAGAATTTTTATGCTACTCTGAATGAAGTTGTGAACTGGTGCTGAGATGTGCGCTCGAAAAACAATCAAAGTATCATTATTACCATTATGTTATCATTACTTCGATCGCACTTCAGGCTACTCTTGAAATAAATGTTCAAAAATTATAATTTTTGCTACACATTGACATTTGCACCGTACAAATTGGGCATTCATCAATTGATGAATTCTTTCGTCGCTATTCTTTCACTCACTTATCGAGATGTACTCGTGAAATAGAACACCGAAGAGCAATACGAAAAAATGCATTTCTGTTCGAGTGGTTTCATATTTCGAAAAACTTTTCGATCGTTTAGTTGCATGAATGGTTTATTGCTGCACATGTTTACAAACAGACTCCGATAACGATAAGAATATGAAAAAATGATAAAACAACTAATTGCAAAAGGCTCAAACATCTAATCAGTAATTACCAACACGATTGTACAGATCAATCCAGTGATAAGAATCGCTTCAAACGAATGCTAACAGCTTCATTGCGTAACAGAACAACGTACGTGCAACAAACAAACGATAATTCCACAAAATGCTTACGATAATAAGTTCACAGAATTAGCTGTAGCTAGAATGCAGTGTCGTAAATGATCACGGATCACGAGAGCTTATGACTCGTTCGTTGTCCAGTCCAAACTTGGCATCGCTGAGTGTCCCGGGGATACATAGGCGCACCGTAAGGACAGTTGAAATCCTTTCCAAATTCTGGTATGTCTTGCACCACCTGGTTCACACGACAAACTCTCGGTGGATGTGGATCCGTCATAAGCTAGAGTAAAAAACATACAGAAATTCCAACCGAGTTAACAAGGTTTTCAAAAAATGATAGAATAAAGATAGCTCTATATTCGAAATAAATGTTATTAAGTAATGATTCCACTATTCAGTGGAACATGATTTTCCTTCACTAGCCGCTCGGTCGATTTCGCTGCGGTACTCTCAAAAATCAGTGCATCATGAAGTGACCTTCAAAGTTCTTGATTTTCGCTACTGGGATCATATACTTCTCCTTTGAAACGAATATTCCGCCGCGGATTATATTCCTATCACTACATCTCCATTGGTTTAAGCCTACCGCTCAGACGAAGTAGCATGTTTCTGGATAATTCGCCTAAGGAGCATGAACATGACGCACGACTGAGTAAGTGATGATTTGTTGATATGGATTTGTACAAGTACTAATCAAATAGTAATGGTGACCAACCGAAATTCGCTCCCCTTCATCATATGTTTTTTTGCACCACACACGACCGAGCATAATCCAAAATATTTGATTGGGTGTGAACTCCTCTAAGCCTGGCAGTCTGTCCTCCTCTATACCTTCTCTATCAACAGCAACGTAATCACGGTACGCTTTATAGGCTGCCAGTCGCCCTGAAATGTAATTGAATTACGTACGTCTAATGAACTGTAACTTCGAATTGGCGAGTGCAGTCTTTCATTTTGCGTGCGAACAACGTTCAAGATGCTCGAATTGTCGTTGGGTAAAACTGCCTCATATGTGCAACATTACGCGTACCATTGAAAAGGTGAGTTATGCATGCAGCTTATTTATCATCACGCTGTTCGAAAGGCATCAATACAGTCAACAATGGCAATGAAAGAATATCACCACAACAATGCTAATCAAAATTTCAACACGTGAATGTGATGAGAACGAGTCAATGAACACTAACCTCCGATATCAGCGATATTCTCTCCCTGAGTTCGCTCACCACTTGCACAATGAACATTACCCGTTTTCAGCGGGCAACATTGCTCGGAATATTGTGAAACAACGCATTGTGCCATCTTGATAAAACCGACCTTTGAATGATCATCCATCCATCCACAATAATTCCACGAACATGAGGACAGTGCACCATCTGGACCGAATTGCACACCTTCAAATCATTCATTGCATTCGGATTTTATTTATCAGTTTCTTTTCGAAGATACAAATTGCATCTCTCTCTTCTTCAAGTAATTCATAGTTTTGATGAGGAACAAAGTGATGAGCGAAAAGTCTTCGTTAAATTTTTCGTGATCTCTCATATTTCCTGGTTCATTTAAAATGATACCTTCATCATCATAGCCATGAGTTAATTCGTGTCCTACTATGGCTCCTTCACCACCGTATTTGTATGCTTCCGGAAAGTCATGCCTGAAATTCTATTGCGTTTGATGCTGAACTGTAGAATGTTTTACTTTTGCCATGTGACACGTTAGCGAAATTGATTGAATCGAAACGACATGGTGATTGATTTAGTACCGATAGAAGGGTGGATTCAGTATGGCGAATGGAATGGTTATTGAGTTACGTTCAGGTATATACCATGCGTTCACAACAGCTGGCGATCCTTGAAAGCTTCTTCTGAAAGTTCATGAGCAGTTCAAATGTGAGAAACCTAATGTGAGGCTTAACATTCAGCGAGGATCAACTAAAGCGATCATGCTATTAGCCTGAGCGTACGGAATCTCTGCGGAAGGTTTAACCGCAGGTGAGTGTGATCATAAATGTGTACTGCTGATCTCGCAAGTACTACACGTCTCCAATCAATTCGAGAAAGTTCTGTCACGAGAACGTCTAATCAAATTCATTCCATAAACGAATCAGTTTTATCGATAATTTGCCTCTTATTTTCCGAACGAAACTGCGAGAAATTAGTGGCGCCTCCTCACCTGTCTGGTTTCTTTGTAAGAGAACCAAAGTTTTCGGTTAATTGTGATGAATATTTCAACGCATTCAAGATATCCCACGAATCATCCAGTTCCAATATTTGTACATAATTTTTGTGATATTCGTCAATTTTCAGTGTATTGGTGAAATCGAACCAATCAGGCCAGCCAATGTTTTTTATAAGGCCATTTGCTGAAGTAGGTGAATGTCATTGTTGCTGACTTGCTCTATTCTTGTGTCATTCAATGCAGTCAGAGTTCAATCGTTGCATGCAGACAAATTCCATAGAACAAAGTGTAGATTTCATGCGTAACTCGTGTTCGATTACAAATGACTTACTGAAATAGCACAAACCTTTTCGCTTTGCAGCACCAAGCGATGCTTCCGTGAGCCATGGCAGAGTAGAAATCATTGCAAGGAATTGTTCAATTACACGACTGGTCATGTTGCTAACATCTTCGCGTGTATTATCTCTTAAAGTCGCATCGATACCCTTGATGTAGGTGTATCCTAAAAATTTCCTTTGGCATCACAAATAAAACCCGGCGAAATCTTGACTACAAACCGGTCGAGTTATTCATTCTTCACTAATCAGTAGAAAATGGTCTTGGTTCAAGGTAACAACTGATTATTTGATGAGAAGGAAACAGATATAGCTGGGATTCGTTTATGAATGCGCAAAAAGAGCCACAAATTTTCCAAATGCAATACTCCTAACAAATAAGCATTGGTTGCGTCTATCGAACACAACATCGTTTGTTCACGTTTCGAACGTTTCGTCTAGCAGCACCCTCTCCATCATTCTCATTGCTTTAGCAAACGTATCTATCCAATTTAATTTTCCTATTTGTTCCATATTAATACAGTCTCATGGAGTACTGCGATCTCAGTACCGTAATTCAAAAAGAAGCTAATTGAAAAGGCGAATGTGTGATTTGTCGATTGCGAGCATCATATCTTACGTTGTTTTCTTTTTCCCTCTAATTTTCCCGTGCAAAAAAAACTCTCCTAATCAAAAGACAAAAGGAGTGAATTATGGAGTCATGTCGTTAAGGGAAGCGTTGTGAGCGAGCAATTCCGTCATCTCGAATTCTGGAAAGTATCGGCACATTTTGCACATCTGATTAAGGCTGATAGAGGATTACCATATGAAGTGAGATGGAGAGTCGCGTGACTGAAACTGCAGCGATTTGGAGGGGTAACAATGCATTCACGTAGCTCATCAACTATTACTGATCAATTGAATACTGATCGCGTTTTGTTAAGAAACACAACACGTTGATTGGGAGAGTGCGATGCAAGATGGAGATTTTGCTTGAAAAATTCGTCGAATGTGATGTTCATTCAGCACTCGATTGTGGACAGTGGCATACTGAATGAACAATTAACGAGGCAGTTGTTGTGCAGCGCAATGAAGTCAACAGTTAGTAACCATGATACAGTTGAACAATAGTTATGAAGCAATTCTTGGTGAATGAGCAAACCCGTGGCCATAGGCATGAAGTTTATCACTAAATTCACACAGTGAAGGGCAGCGCCTGATACACTCGCTGAACTACGGTGTCTTTTTCGATCTGATTTTACGCGTTGCAAGAATTCGAACAGTTTCGCGTAATGATCTCCTCCATGCTTTTGTAAAATTGCCAAGTTCTCCTAAATTTTGACATTAATTCATTAATCAGCTCTTACTGCATCAATTAAGCATTTTTATATGGCTTTCGACAGTTGATTTGACCGTAAATCTGTCCGCATGATATGCAATGCATAACTGAGAAATTGTCAAAAATTGCACCTAGCGGGACTGCCCTTAGATTCTCGGAAGTGTCGGGTGGATGACTACAAATTCACAATCTAGCCATTTGTTGGAGTCAAAAATAGTGGTGGAGCTTCGAACAATAAATGGTAATGAAAACCCACGAATTTCAATTCACTAAAACTCTAGAATGGCATGACGTTGAAATACTGAAAGAGCCCCATTGAACATAAACTATGTCATAGGAACGAACGAAGGCAATGAGGCAATAATCATTACTTCCACGAAACGTATAGCAACGAAATTAACGAATGTTCTTTTCGAGAATTGTTCACCAGCCAGAATCGTATTCAAGGTACCCAAATAAGAAGGTTGATTAATGTTGAACGAATCATTTGGTTGAACAGACTGCAAATGAGCATTCAGTTGTATAATGACATGACAACATGCTTTCCGGACACATAATTGTGTTAGTTTAAGAGAAGAGTTAGAAGCAAATATCACCAGACAACGTATCGAAACCATGTTGGAAGATAGGTCGATGTGATCACAAACAAAAAACTTCAGAAAATGAAAAAGTAGTTCAATACGAATCAAATACCCGCTGCAAGAGAGCGCCGAGGTATGCTTCCCAACCGATCGACGGATACGCAGCCTTGAGTTGTTCTATGTTGTACGAATTGGATTTCTCTTCGTAATTCCGAAGTAATGCTGACGGGACTGATGCTAGTGCCAGTTTCAGTTCAAGTCTAGCCACTTTCACAGCATCCTGCGATAAAAACATCAGATGAATTGTGAGGCAGTCTTTGCATTGCGCAAGTCATATTTGAATGAGTGAATGCGTAAAATTTCAGCTCATTGTGAAAAATGCTGCGAATAATATGAGTTAAATAAATTTGTACCTTAAAAATAGCTTCGCGAGTTGCTGTTGATTTTATTTCGAGACCGAATTGAACCGCCGCGTCTACTATTTCATCCAAATATTCATTCAAGTAATCGAGAAACTGAGGTTTCACGTAGAAGTCTCGAGGCATATACAATGGGATCTGCAAATAACATACATTTCAATCATTAATAAAAGATTCGAAATCTGTTCATGATCGCGGTTGGTCACATTTAGCATGATTCGAGCATAGACTTGTTTTAGAAATGGTACGTATCGCGATCTCGCCTTGAATCTTG